CAGTTATGCAACCGCTGCCGTCCGGTGAAACGCCAAGGGCCCAGCATTCTCCGTTTGTTTGTGCAATGTGCGTCTCGATGCAGTGCTGAGTCGTGACATCCCAGATCTTAATCAACGCGTCTTTGCTAGTCGATAGTAGGAAAGCTTGATCTGCATCCACGTCCATCTCTTCGTCCTCCACGCCGTCTTCTTGCGGAGCACTACCAGGATGGAGGAACTGCAGGCCAGTAATTTGGCCCTTGTGCCCTCTCAGCTTGAACAAGCCAGTTTCCGAGACCAGATCCCACACAACAATGTCTGTATCCTTGGCACCACTTGCCAGCCGTACTCCACTCTGGTCAAAAGTCAAAACTGTGACTGCGGATTTGTGGCCATTGAAGCTGATGATGACGGTCGACGTTCGCGCATCCCATATGCGTATGCTTCCGTCGGCGTAGCCCACAGCGAAGACGTCCGGGTCGATATCGCTCCGGCATATTACGGTGACTTCTTCGGTGCAGGTGTTGTCGCGCCATCTGCTCATAAGTTCGCCCTTCTTTACATCCCAGCACAGCACTTCCTCGTTGGCGGCGGCGTATGCGCGTCCGGCGCCTGCGACTCGACTCGAACCGGGCTGCGTGAGGCCTTCGGGGGTCCATACAATGTTGGAAGTGGCAGTCGCGACCACGCCGAAAGCATCGGACTGCTCATACTTGCTATGTAACAGTTAGTACGAGCTCTGTTCGACTTGCGCTGCATGTGCGCATTACCTGTATGATTTGACCATTTTGCGCCGCCTCTATAAAATTCCGGATACTACGTATAGGAAGGGTTCGAAAGATGTCAGAGTCAGTCTCTTCAGGTCATTGCGCTCCTCAGACAATGTTCGTGGGTATGCGCCACTGGTAACGGTCGGGTTGGGAGTTGGTTACTTTCTCGAAACTTTTTAGACAAGGGCCAACCCCACGGATTGCGCTAGACCCACCTTCCAGCATCACAGCACACCTCCGTCCTCCGCATCACCGCCCTCGAAGAGCTCCCCGCCCGACGACGCCCACCCGCCTACGAGGAGCTGAACCGCCAACATGCTTCTTCTCGACTATCAGAACGTCCTTATCGAATCTCTCCTACGGGAACGAATCAATGGGTGCGCCATACCCCGCTGCCGTCCGCTCCGCAGCACCAGCCAGGTAGCTAACAGCACATAGAGGAGCTACCGCCAACATTGACCAGGTCGTCTCCGACTTCGATGGCGTCACCTTCCACATCTCAACGCCCGAGAGCAAGACCAAGATACTAGTATCATTGCACATCAAGTGCTTCAAGGAGCTGGTCCAATACGGCGCGCAGGCAGTGCTGGAGCGAGAGTATGGGCCCTATATCGTGGAGCCAGAGTCTGGCTACGACTTCTCCGTGCTGGTAGATTTGGAAAACCTGCCAGAAGAGCAAGGTACGGTCTGTTGTCGGACTGCTGGAATAAGGTGCTGACGGTGTGCAGATGCCAAAGAAGACCTGGTCAGGCGCGTTTCCCTCCTCAAGCGGAACGCCATGGCTGCACCCTTCGAGCAAGCCTTCGACGAGTTCCATGAGTTGCAGGAGGAAGCCTCCAAATACACATCCGAGTCGGCGCCACAGGGTGTAGCAGAGGGCGGTGCCGTGCGCGCGATCCACTACCGAGAGGAGGAAGCCATCTACATCAAGGCTAGCCACGACCGTGTCACCGTCATCTTCTCCACCGTCTTCCGGGAAGAGACAGACAGGATATTCGGAAAGGTCTTCCTTCAGGAGTTCGTTGACGCCAGGCGGAGAGCTATTCAGAACGCACCACAAGTGCTGTTCAGGAATGACCCGCCGCTTGAGCTGCAAGGCATCCCCGGAGTTGACAACTCTGGCTCAGCTGAGATTGGCTACATCACATTTGGTGGGTCGCCTAACACGATTGACTGTACGTCCTGCTAACCTCTGCAGTACTCTTCCCTCGCCATCTCGCCAAGCAACGGCGCGATGAGGTTATCTCGCACATCCAAACCTTCCGCGATTACTTCCATTACCATATCAAGGCTTCCAAGGCTTTCATCCACACAAGAATGCGCAAGCGGACCGCAGACTTCCTTCAAGGTATATTGTGCCGTGTTGCCTGCGCCAGGTTTATACTGACAAACTATAGTTCTCCGCAGAGCCCGACCCGAAACAGAGGAGAAGGAGAAGAAGACAGCCAGCGGTCGTACTTTCAAGGTTCAGGCATAGACGAAAACAAGGAACTGTTTCGATTACAAGGCGGCATGCGCTGCACATGTCCAGTGAATTGAGGAGGGTCATTGATGGCCAATGCAGGATGAAGTATCAGAGAGAGCGTACCATGTAGTTAGCGATGATTGAACCCGCCTGACAACAGGCAAGAGCAAGCCTATCATCACACCCCTGCCTGCCTTTTGGTGTATAACATGAGTCCATACCCAAGTCACTATGCCGTGCGGGGACTAGCGCAAGTCGCGACTGCCACTCTGAACGCGTCCCCTGGCACACACCCACCTTGCGCCAAACCAGCGTTACCCCTCCCTGCAGCCAACCGCCATGTCCGAAGGAACCAGGCCAAAATACGACAACCTCCCGGGCATTGACACCGCCCCGGACATCTACGAGACCCCCGAGCTCGCCGAAGATGTGTCTACAATCCAAGCCTCCACCGCCGTTTCCGAATCCGATGGCGAAGGCGACGATGACGACCCGAGAGACTCTGCAGTTCGTCACCAGCGACTCCAACCCGATCAAGCCCGCAATCGCTTCCAGCCTTCACGAATAGACGCCCGCGGGGTCGATTTCTCGGACAACATCACCGCACAACGGCAATCCTACCGCACATCGACACGGCGCCAGCGAAGGCGAGGCGAAATAATAGGAGATGACAGCGATGAAGAAGAGGAAGGCTTTGCGAAGAAGCTATTGCGCATCAAGCGAGAGCTAGCCGGGTTGGAGGAGGAGTACGAACGAAGAGTGGAGAGCGGGGACAAGTCCAAGATTGAGGAGCAAGACCCGAGGGAGCTGATGGAGACGATAGCAAGCAAAGTCGACACCATATACACAGCACACAAGGGCGGGGCGCGGGGCGCACAAGCTATACTCGACCGGACGGTACAAAAGTTTGAGAGCTACAAGCCCTTTGATCCTAGCACAACGCTCAGCGAAGCCATCGCAAACAAGCCGCCGCTACCAGGCACCCAGATTCAGAGGGGTCAGCTCGAAGTAGTGCTGAACCACGCGGCAGAGTTTGATAAGCGCATAACGCAGATTGAGAACAATCTGGGCCTCAACGGGAACACAATGCCGGAGCTCAGTGACCAAACGCCTTTTCCTGTTGCTTCTACTCTGACGAGGTTGGAGCAGACGCTCAGCTTGATTGGGGATGCTTCGAGCAACAACTTGGACGCCGTCACACAGAACGTCAAGAAGCTCACAGCAGAAGCGGAGCATCTGAAGGAAGTTCGGCATGAAGCTGCACAGGCTAGCTCAAATTCTGGCGACAACAAGGCGGTGACCTATCCAGACCAAGAGGCTAAGATCAACGCGCTGTATGGCACATTGCCTTCCATCGATAAGCTGTCGCCCGTTCTTCCTCTGGTCCTCGAGCGTCTGCGCACACTGCGACTCGTGCACACAAGTGCTTGGCAAGCCGATCAAGTATTGACTCAGCTAGAAAGCCGACAATCAAAGCAGGAGCAAGAAATCAAGCGGTGGGAGCGTCAACTTGAGGTTCTGGAGAGGGACTACAAGAAGGCCGAGGCCACCACGGTCACCAATGTCAAGACCGTTGGGAATGATGTGAAAATGCTAGAGGAAAAGATGGCCAAGCTGCTTGCAGGAGGCCAGGAGGAGTAGGTGTGCCGTGGCGGACTACGACTTCGCGGTCACTACTGCCTTGATCCAGTTCAGCTGTGCTGAAGTCACGCGGATATCAATACCCCCGAGATGCTTGCAACAACTCTGTATCGAGACGCCCAGCGCATTCGGTAGGCGTACCCGGTTATAGCATGTCGATCACTTTCGAGATACCCAATAGACAGTTGCTACTCATAATCAATCAAACCAACACCGTGTTTATCTGTAGTTGTCGTCATCCTTCACATGAAGGCTGGGAATGGATCATCGTGATACTAAACTTAAACGCCGGACGCCACCGGACACATGTTCCCCGGGGGATCAGCCAACCGGAGTGGTTGGCTCTCCGCACGTTAGCGAGTGCCTATCCCGCAAGCTGTGTACGAGGTCGTGGACGCATCTGAGCATAGTTTCGCAAGCACTAGCTGCTATTGCGCCGAAGCATGATCGGTCAACATGAGGAGAACACGGCCACACTGGGTAGTAATCTTCGTCATGATGCTGCAGACGGCTAGGTGGAGCTATTGTGGTGTGAGGCAGGCGATAGCATCGGCGATTTCCACGTCCAAGGCCGACCAAATTTATGTTCGAGCTTCCCTCAATTGCTCTTCCGCAACAGCTGAACTTTCTCCCAACCTACCGGAATTATCGCTAAACCTCCGCAATGGCCAAGCGCAAAAATGAGGCGCCTGCGCATGGCAAGGCGAAAAAGAAGAGAGCCATCTCCGACGACGAGGCGCATAACAATTTCCGCAGCGGTCTCTTCGACAGCAAAGTACTCGAGGGATATACGAGCGAATACGCGGATTCGCAGCCGTATGCATTAATCTCCGCACTTTCGATCCATGACGTTCTAATTGAACCATAGCTACAAGCACGCCGTAATCCATAACCTCGTCGACGATACTCTCCTACGCAATGTCCGCAACGAAATCCGCGAGCACATCCACTTTACGCCCAAAGAGACAGACATCTACAAGATTCACCAATCTGGCGATCTCGCAAATCTCGATGGCCTCCACGACTCGGCGCTCAAGCGCCTGCCTTCACTGCTTACCCTGCGCGACTCGCTGTACTCGTCTGCCTTTCGCAAGTACCTATCTTCGATAACAGGATCTGGGCCATTGAGTGGAGTCAAGACGGATATGGCAGTGGTAGGTTGCGCGACGCATTGTCTGAGGAATCTTGCTGACTGCGGCGCAGAATGTATACACACCAGGATGTCACTTGCTTTGCCATGACGACGTCATCGGAAGTCGGCGTGTAAGTTGGATTCTGTATCTGCTGGACCCTGACATTCCTTGGAAGCCAGAGTGGGGAGGCGCATTGCGATTGTACCCAACCGAGCACCTCGAGACACCAGACGGCGACAAGGTTAGGGTGCCACAGCCGGACTTTTCGCTATCGATACCGCCGGCATGGAACCAGCTCTCTTTCTTCACCGTTCAGCCTGGCGAGAGTTTCCACGACGTCGAGGAGGTCTACAGGAGAGGGTTGGAAGAGAAGGCAGAAGAAGACGGTGGTCGCGTTCGCATGGCCATCAGCGGGTGGTTCCACATTCCGCAAGAGGGCGAGGAAGGCTACGAAGAGGGTCTCGAAGAGAAGCTGGCAGAGAAGAGCTCGCTTGCTCAACTGCAGGGAGGCAAGGCGGACGTTTTCGACGAGCCGCAATCACACTGGGTCGACAACCCAGACTGGGAAGAGCAGGCGAAACAGGAGGACGACGAGCTGACTGAGAACGACATTGATTTCCTGATCAAGTTCATGAACCCAAACTACCTCGTTCCGGACACAGTGGAGGAGCTGTCCAACATGTTTGGCGACGAGTCGTCGTTGCGACTGGCACAGTTCCTGTCTAATAAGTTCTCCGCGCGGTTACGGGAGTACCTTGAGTCGAAAGACCACGAGGCGAACCCAAGCCTACCCAACAACCCGCACTCCAAGGAATCGATGGTTGGTGTCGCACGACCGCCACACAAGCAGCGCTATCTCTACCGAAAAGCTATTCAGCCAATACCGACTACACCGTACCCCGAGAACGACGGCATGACACCATACGATGACCTCGTCGACATCCTCTTCCCGCACCCAGCGTTCATGAAATGGATCTCTCTTGTCACCGGTATCACACTCACCAAGAGCAACATCTTCGCGCGCCGTTTCCGGCGAGGTCTCGACTACACGCTCGCGACCGCCTACGAGGAAGAAGACCCCCAGCTAGAAGTCTGCCTCGGCATCACGCCCTCCCGCGGCTGGGGCGACGAAGACGAAGAGCCTGAAGAAGGCGCCGAGGAAGAAACCAAGCAAAACGGCAGCAGCAGCAAAAAGAGCAAAAAGAAGGGCAAGGCAAAAGAACCAGAACCCAAGCCTGAAGAGGAGGTCGGCGGCTACGAAATGTACATGGCTGGTGAAGACGATGCCGATCACCCCAGCGTTCCCACCGGTGAAGCTTCAACGTCTACGGGTGCAGGTCAACGTCGCAAAGCAAAGGCTGATCCTGCTATCTACAAGTCTGCGGCTGATGACGAGGACGATGGTATTTTGTTCAGTCAGCCGGCTGCGTGGAATAACCTCGCTATTGTGCTGAGGGACCGGGGTGTGTTGCGGTTTACCAAGTATGTTAGTAAGAGTGCGAAGGGGGACCGGTGGGATGTCTGTGCTGAGTATGGGGTTGAGTTTGGGGAGGACGAAGATGATGAGGACGATGAATGAGTAGGTAGGTTTGCAGATTACATCAAGATGACAATGTAGGCCTTACGTCTAGATAGAAACATGCAAAGTAAATGACTCAAAGACAATGTAGGCCTTATATCTAGATGGAAATATGCAAAGTAAATGACCCAGCGACAATGTAGGCTTTATACGAAGATGAAAACATGCATAGTAAATGACCTGACGGCAATGTAGGCCTTACATTAGCATGAAAACATGCAAAGTAATTGACCCAACGTCAATATAGACGCCTGGCTTCTATTTTCCCGTAGCCAGATTCACCACTTGTAAATCAGACCGGCAATACGCATTTCGGTTCTACAGCATGTCGGCCAATCTCTTGGTCTTCTCGACTCCCGGGAACGCCGAGCATGGAAGACATCACTAGCGAACCCGCTCGCACGATAGACATAGCCGTCGTGCGACTCCGACTTGAAGACGTGAATATGTCTTGGATGGCTTCTGGCCCGCAATGCACGACAAGCGCGCTCAGCATTTGGCGACAGTGGCGTCATATTCTCCTCTGATGTGCAGATATCCCAAAGGTTTCGCGTCGAACTGGTCGCATCAGATGCTGGAGTGTCGAGATCAAGGATCCACTTCGCGATTCCTTGTACCATATACGAGATGCTTCCCGCTTTCGTACTCCCTCAGCATCACATCTTCTCCTTCTCCCTGACCGGACTCAACATCGGTTGAAAGGCTTTGATCTGCTACAGAAGTCATCAGCATACATTCATCTAAGTCTCATGACATCACCCAAACATACCTTGCCCATCCAACCCCCCTCTCCCCGTTCCGCTCTGTCCAAACCTCTCGTATCTCCGCCCATATCTTCTCCCCTCTTTCTATCTCTTCCTCCACACCTACAGCACACCACTCTTCTCAGCACAGCGACAACCATGAAGAAAGCCATCATAGCGAGGATGTAGTTCACGCCCAGTACGATCAAATAGCTGACACCGAAAAGATTGTCGCGCGTGCAGAACCCAGGCCCCAGATTCCAGGAACGGATCATGGGATCGATGAACTGAGCGATGTACATGCCACATTTGTGGAGTGTGGGGTAGTCGGGGAAGGAGGGCGCGGGGCTCGAGTGTGGTAGGTGCAGGGCCGGGTAGGTGATGATGATCTGTGGCATTTTGGGATACGTAAATATCTTGGAGAGTCGCAGAGGAAGGTTGTCGAATGTTGCTTCTGGAGTGTGTGAAGTGTGTTCGTCGAGTTGTGGTTCTTTGTGAGACTGATGTGTTTGATAGGGACGCACGCAGTGCGAGGCCGCTATGCAATGACCGATGCGCCGCAATATACATGATTGCCTTGGTGTTACACGGCAGCCACCGGGTTTCTTGGATGCGGCGTCGCCCTGTCTAAGTCCATGTGCGGATGCTGAGCGTCACTTTATCTGCCATGGCCTGAAACGCGCGTCATTGTTTCGTATACATGGGGATGGCCTTGCGCATCGACCTTGGATGGGTAATTGGAAGATTAAGGTTTTGAAATGCGATAGATTGTTTCAATGAGTACACATGCGCTAAATACGATATTTAGGTTCATTTTCGATGACCCGGAAAGTTGGTAACATGCTCTTTACCTAGTCCTTCCATTTCCCGCTCCATCCCTGCCGTGCCGCCTGCGCCGTCTCTGCCTCATCAACACTATCACCGTCCACGTACCCAAAGTATTTTCTGGGCCAGATATTCAGCCCAATCTTCTCTCCTTCGCCCACAGGCAAGCCGGCATGTACCACTCTTCTATCGCCGTTGCCGTGGTTGTCCAGATTAACCCAGAACACTGCATTCCCTTGGATTGGTTTAAATTTGATGCCTTTAGCTTCTCCTTCCATCTCTCCGTGAGCTACCTTGCCGCTATAGAGACCTTCTAAATCAGTAGAGGAAGAAGGCTCGACTAGAGGGAAAGACGTATACCCATTCGTGCAATTATCGCGCAGAAAGACGAAGAAAGACGCGACGCGGTTGTAGTAAACCCGCCTTCCATTTTCGAGAGTGGTGATCTGGTGTTCGGGCCAGAAATCTGTGTGGAGGTTGTACTTCTGGCCGGGGAAGTAGCGCACGAGTTGCGGGATGCTGAAAGGTTCGGAGGGAAGTAGCATGGAGCCCATGAACGTTCGCGCGCGATTAAGAAGGCATTCGACAAGCGGGTTTTCCATTGGGAGCGGCGCGGATTGAGAAGTTCGCCCTGTTACACGCTGCGTGTTGCCTCGCGAGCGGCTGATGAAAGATTCGGCGAACTCAGGAGAGCTGCGGGAATTAGTGACTATTTGCATTCGCTATGTACCGTCTACAATAAACGGAGGCGAGTATGCGTACCCGAGCTTGATAAGTTCCTCCGCTTCTCGTGCTGACGTGAAGTTGTTGATGTAGATCAAAAGAGGATCGAGAGATATGATCTCAGTCGTGTACTGGTGGCCTGCGCATGCTTTGATTAGGTTCTCCAAACTCAGCGACTCTTGTGAGCTGGCTGATGCCGATGTAGGCAGGTACGATTGAAGCAGTTTGGGCAAGTACGCGTGAAGTATAGGCGGGAGCGTCTGCTGAGCGCCTGCATAAAAGATGCCGAAGGGAACAAGAGGAATCAGTAGCAGCAGTAGGACATTCGTGCTACGAGCGCCGACCTACAAGACGTCAGCCGTCTCTACGGAGAGAGTCCGGGTATTCCTTACGAGCCCTGACTTGCCTTCCATCGACGATGGCATCGCTGCGTTCACGCCTTTCTTGTTTTCGAGATTCTTGTGCGCCATAGCTAGATATCGCGTTTATGCCTCGAGGTGCCGGTAACTAAGAATGCGATGGCTATCGCGCACATGCGGGTAGTAGCGCCGATGAACGCATGGCGACAGTGCGATTATGTGCGGGGTGTGTTGCGTACGTGACGGCGGTACTGTCTGGCGGCATACGTATTGCGAAAGGTCTTTTAGAGTGATCTGTACGTGCTATATGCATATGAGCTGTGCATGACCAAGATTCTGGGGTAATATCCGGCTACAGCACCCCGGTGCTGGGATATATGTGCGTCGTCACACCTACAAGGTCTTATGCGTACCGGAACCAGACAAGCAGTGGTTATGTCGCCCATTCAATTTGGAATGCAAGTGGTAGATATGATGAAAGATGTGCATTGGAGATGCGCGATGTGCAGCTGCGACCGCTATCGTGGGAACAATCCAACTCCGCCGCTACCTTTGTGGGAAACCATTCATGATGTCGTGGTACTCCAAACGCCGTGCTAGACTTTTATGTACAAACCCTCGCAGGCCAGATCCTCCATCCATGTGCGCTTCGCCCTCTTATAGTTATTATAGCTAGAGCCAGGAAAGGACAAACGAAAAGTCGACCACTTCGTAGAACGTTATTGGCTTACGTCAGGCTTGCAGAACAGGTTTAGACTTCATCCTCCACGATCTCCTCCTTGGCGGGATCGATCTTCATGGGGGAGGCTCCGGTGTCAGCGTCCTCGTCAGACTCCGCCTTGACAGCTGCGGTATGTTAGCGGTCTGGAGTTTACATCAAGATAAATGCACGCAAAGTAGGCGACCCAATGTCAACGTAGGCTCCAGGGTATGCTTACTCTCGTTCTTCTTGCCACGGGGAGTAGCCTTCTTCTTAGGGGAAGACTCGCCGTCGACGTCCTGCTTTTTGGCGACACGCTTGCGAGGAGTCTTCTTAGGGGTCGCGTCGGCACCCTCTTCGCCGTCCTCCTGCTTGGCGGCAGCAGCCTTCTTGCGAGGAGTCTTCTTGGGAGTAGCCGGAACGGCGCCGTCGGGAGAGGGTGTCATCAACTTGAGCTTGATCTTGGCCCAGGCGTTGCTGGCGGAGCGCGGGTTGCCCATACCGGCGTAGGCGGCGAGCTTCTCGTAATCGATCTATAGCGGGTGTGAGTAGTGTGATAGGAATAGACAGGGAGTGGTAACCTACCTCTGGAGGACCGGACTTGAGGGACTGCATGGCCCATCCGAGGAGCTGGAGCTCGCGCTCGGTGAACTGAGGAGAAGAGCCATTGGCGACGGCGGTGTTATCGTTGTCGGACATGTTGGATCGTTGGGGTGTGCTTGAATGCTGGTCGCGGTGTGTTGGTGGTCAAGTTGTAAAGAGGATGCAGGTGGGAGACGGATGCAGATTATGAATGCGGGGGATTAGCGCGATGGCAGGAAAGTGAAGGTGAGCACACAAGGATGGACGGCGCACACAGATAAGCCAAATAAGGCCCTCACCTCGACTTCATGATGCGAGACCCTGGATTGAGCACGCGCTATTGGTCGCCTGCCATCGGACACGCACACGTGCGCCACGACGAAGTGAAGGTGAGCCGCACCTCGATATCGGACTGCCTTACGTGATATGGTATGAGAGCAGACATTTCGGAATCCAGAGGTCTTACCCCCTCATGTCTTGTATAAAGATATGACGATAGCTCTTTCTTGCTTGCTATTCCATGAGCAAAAGTGGCAGTCAATGCAAACGACTGTCTGCATACTCGCAACGAGTTTTATTGTATTGCCACAACGAAGAGCGCTTATTCGACGAGACGAGACATGACATCTAGCATGATCAAAAGAAAGCCCTGAAAACACGTCATGATGGAAGTGAAAGAGTTCGTCCTTGACGACGGAAGTCGCGATTGTTGAGAGAAAGAGACAGAAACAGGCCGCTGCTGCCACAAGCCTTTTGACGCGAGGATAAACACCCTTCCTGGAATGGACAGCAACCCATACCACGCGATAATCAGCGACAACGAAAGAGAGAGTTGAGGTGTTGTTGCGTGAATTGACGCGTCGCGGGGATGGGGTACCAACGCTTGTACTCGCCTGACTCGTGTGGGCCGGCCAGCGAATCGCCGACGGAGGAGCCGCTGGAGATTGAGGGGACGGGGCTAGGACCCAAGCGATACTCAAGCAACCCGACATTGATCACGCCCGAGCGATACACGCCCAAGACCCGAATCAGAATCATGGCGGACCCCATTGACAGCGCCCTGTGAGG